TTCACAAAGTTTTATCTACATCCACTAGTCTCTGTTCCAAAGGTGGCGGCCAGGATAATTTGTAATGACTATGAAATGCTCAGTTCATTACTAATGAACAAATTAAATTTTCCTGACTTAAGTGAACGACGAAAATATTTTCGTTTGTTACATTTTCATAAAATTATAATAGGAAATAGCGCTCTCTCAAGATTTAATATGATCACACCTTTAACTAGCACGACCTCGGATAGGCTGAATAATCGGTGCCAGTGAACCATCCCTAAAACAAGCTTAGAAGCAACAAAATACTCTTTTCTTCCCCGCACATGTACCGAGTGGAACATCTTGCCGCGATCCATGATATCCCAGTTTGCCATAGGAGCGTTTAGGCGAAGGCTTAGACTGTATTTAAACATTTACTTTTTACAACGGTAATTAGAACATGTAATTGACCGTTTCAAGTTTTTTCTTTTTATGTGCAACATTCTCTTGGTTTTTTTTAATCTTTTCCTTACATTCATCTAAGTTTGCCTTTTTTGTAACAGCCTAGACACAATCGTGTTCAAATAAAAAACCTATTGATTGCTTGAGGGTGAGCCTAGCTACCACAATCGGTTTCGATCTTGCTAAAGGATCTTGTCAAATGGCTTGACACTCGTTTTCATTTTTGGGTCTGTTGCATGCCCATTGGAATCCGGTTGCAAGGAACACGCCGGAACGTAACGGAGCCGGCCAATTCTGGCGAGTCCCCGATTCCTGGTGTTCCAGCGACTGGCATGATCGACTTTGGCTTTCTCATTTCTTCTCTGAAAGTTTTTGTCTTTCGCTAATTAACTCAATCATTGCACTTCATTAGTTTTTTGTAAAAAGTGTACCATTGATGATAGAACAGAAAATATTTTGCAAGAAAAATATCAAAAAATCGGTTATATTTCCATAATTATGAATAAATATTTATGAAAAATCCGATATTTTTGACTATATTAATTAATTAGTGCGTGGTGTTCTAATAGGGCGTTTGAACTTTTGCTCAAACATGGCTTTATACAGAGGGTGGCTTTCTGTTCTGGGGGGTGGGTGGGTGTATTGTTGTTGCAGCTGTCTGTCAAACGGCAACACGCGTCTCGCTTCTTTCTATTTATTTCTCTTTCGAGATATCATTCTAATCCACTTTCGGCTCAGAAATGCAAAAACTCTTGTTTTCTTATTATCATGAAACTAAGAGCAGTTTTAGAAGAGCTGTTTAAATCAAGATTTTGAGAGCTATTGAATCAGAATACGTCAGATTAAAGATCAATTTTCTACTGCGTTTCTTTTATTGTCGCTAGAAATAATGGCGATAAGCAAAGCCGGATGCATTTCAACGGATCGTCTTGTTAACCAAAATTCATTTCAAGATGTTTTTGAATGCTCTATCGGTTGCAATATTCTATGGCAACCTGTCGAATGTAGATCATGCGAGACGCTGTATTGCTGCCAATGTATCGAAACGTGGCTTGAAAAAGATAGATCATGTCCAACTTGTCGAAATGTGTTTGAAAGACAACCGTGTCCAAAGCTCATTAAGAAACAGTTATCGCAATTGAAAATATACTGTCAGCACAAAAGGGCTGGATGTCAGGAAGAACTACCGTATGAAGCACTGGAAGTACATGAGCAACAGTGTAAATACCAATGTGTTCCATGTAGCGGCTGCAAAAATAATGTTTTGAAGAAAGATGTGGAGCAGCATGAGCAAGCCTGTGAGAAAGTGATTGTTCAATGTTTAACATGTAAAAACCATTTTAGTCGACAAGAAATGAAACAGCACGGCGAACTTCAATGTTTGGAAAAACAAATGAGTGGTGCTCTGGAAAATCAAAGACTCAATTTTGAACAAATGCTGAAAAATCAAGAATTCAGCTCTGGACAAGCTCTAATACAGCTACGAGTGTCGTTTGATCAAAAACTAAAAGCAATGGAAGATAAACTCACACAAGTATTACATTCAAAAGGTATTGTTCTAATTTACTATCTAAGTGCTTTAACTCACGCATACTATTAGAGGTCGGAAAGGTGATGATCCAAGCACGCAGACTCCTCCGAACATCCTCTCGAAAAACATGCTATTTCATTAAGACAATTAATTCCCCTCGTGAAAATCTTAAGCACTTCTCGGAGAAAGATCGACAGAACACCTAGATCTTTTTATCATAAATTGATAGCGGGTGGTTAGGAATACGAGAAAACGCATTCTAAACTACGCTCTCTCTAGTGGTGCTCTCGAAACAATGCTTGGCTGTTCTAACTAGACGTTTAGACGGGTTTAATCTGGTTACGGGACATTTCTTAGTATTTTCTAATTTTCTCCCTTATAAAGCAATCTTAGTCTTTGCTATTTATATAAGATCATCAAGTGAGCAGGCAATACTTATGATTAAAAAAAAGAACTTTTCTATCAAGCTCGCTTGAGGCGTAGCATAGTGAGTGATTACGGGACAGAAGAAAATATTTTTTCGGGACCACAAATTCTGAACAAATTTTATGAAAAAACACAAAAGTCGGGAACAAAGATATTGATGTACCTGGGTACAACGAAAGAACTTCTATAAGAAAGACAGAAAATTTATATAGTTAGACCAAAGAACATCGTAGAGAGCTCGGGGGCATCTCATTTTGTAGAGCATTGTTTGCTCTATCATTCTACGTAGTTGGAACAAAATTTTATTCGCAAGTTCTAAGTGCTGAAAAACTACAGCGGCTACAAAAATTGATCAACTTGGTGTATTTTTGATTTTTTTCCGCACCCATAAATGCTAAAAAATTCAAATAGCATCTAGAACCTGCGAATAAAATTGTGTTCATACTACGTAGAATGATAGAGCAAACAATTTGCCACAAAATGAGATGTCCCCGAACC